AGCAGAACGAGATTATTTCAAATTCGGTCGTTTTCGTAACTTATTTTAAATAATTAACGTTTTCAGGTCTTACCGTTTAATGGAATGACCAGTGGTAGTCAAATTCAATTAAAAAAATTTTCAATTGAAATTTAATTACTTATAATTACAGCTGAAATTTAGCTAAATATTATCCTGGTCGAATACTGTATAAAAAGATTATGTTAAAAATTTTTCTCCCCCGGGATCGTATTTCGACTCTTTGTATGCGCATTAGATTACTTTAGAATTGTTTAATTTTAATACCGATTCTGTTTATAGCAATTTTGATAATCTTGGAAAAAATTTGAAACCAAGTCTCCAAATTTGCAATTCTAATTCAAATATCATACAATAGAGCCAAAAATTTGACAAACTGTGTTAGCTAGGTATAGGCTAAGTTTTTAAGGTAAAACAAAAAAATTAAATTGAATCACCCTTTTTGAAATTTTTCTAAATGTATTACTTTGTTTTATTATTCTTTTTTTGTTGTTTTTTTTTTGAGGAAAATTTTTCACATCATAAAATTCCGAAATCTGTTAAGAGGAAGTAAAATGAGAGAATCAAAATGAAGATGGGTAACTTAGGTGCGTTTCAATTCTTAATAATTTTACTAAAAGGTTTGGATTTTTTTTTTGTTTTTATTTTTCATCTTCCTTTCTTAAAAAATTCAATTTTTTTTTTTATACATATATATAGAAGATCCTTAAAGGAATAAAAATTATTGGAATGTAATTTTCTTTTATTGATTTTTGTGCTTTCCACGTTGTTTTTTTCTTTTTTTTTGTATATAAAATTTTTGTTAACTCATATACCGGAAGAAATAAGGTTTTGATGTATATACACCTGTTTTCATTTTGTTCTCTATACTGCTTCCTTTAACCTTATGAATATTTATTCTTATTTATTTTTCTTGTTTTCTTGTTTTTTGCAGAATTCAGTGGATCAAATTTGTATCGTATTTGTTATTCCAATTGTAATAACTAAAATGTTTTAAAAATATTTTTGTTAATCTACATAGGATACTCATTCATGGACTTGTTTTATTACTGATAGTCGTTGTTGTAGCAGAAGATTTGTAATTTAATTGAAGAAATTGAACTGGATTTAAAAAAGTTTATGATGTGTCAGGACGTTATAAAGAATTTAAGAAATTTAATTGGGAAATGTGAACTGGATTTAATGGAACTTATGCGACAAAATGTGTTGAGTATTGCTGTACAAGTACGATAAGGCGATTTCATTATGAAAATTTCGGTGGGAAAGCATTAATATTGTTAAAGATGTTATAAAGTAAGAAATTCTATTTTGGAGTTGGTTATAGTATTTATATACCACTTTAGTATCGTCATTATTTTCTCTCTTAGGATATACAGATTTTCTTCAATATAACCTTATACTGAATCAATTCCTTTCGGCGTTAGTTAATTTTTAATTATTTTTAAGACTATAAGCTGTGAGTCATAATAATTTGAATACTCGTATAACAATTCAACTATCAATTGCCATATATTTCAATTTAAATAATTTCAAGATGATAAAATTATTTTTTAATATATGAAAGAACTTTTAATATAGGTGTACGTTTATATAATTGTATTATAGGCACTTTTTCAACTTAGCAGTACTTAGCTAATCAATTAATATTATACATAGGGTATTATACAGATTTTTAGAGAATCATTTGAGTATACCATCTTTTATTATAATATTTTTGTATTGTCATTTCATTTAGTAGGTGTCTTAAGGTGTAGGCACATTTAAATGAGCAAGGTCATATTTATAAATTTTTTTTTTTCTTTCATTTTGTTTTATTTTTTTTTTTTATTATAAATAGGCATACCCATTAACTATACTTATGTCTTAAAAGGTAAAAGGTGAGAATTTGATATTTTATTATTTTTTGCTTCTTTTAATTTTTTCTCCCTTTTTTGTTTCCAATATTTTTTTTTTGTTTTTAGATATTCTGAGATTTTTTTTTTTTAATTTTTGTATAATTTTTTTGTTGTTTTTTTTTCTTTTAGCTCCAATGACCTTAAAGGTCGAAATGAAAATGATTACGAAAGAGGAAAAACAAAAAGCAAAACAGAAAAAAATAAAAATATAAATTGAAATGAATATCAAAGATGAAAGAAGAAGAAGAATAAGAAGAAGAAGAAATATTAAATTTCTTCTAAAAAAAGTAAGAATAATAAGCGGGGGTTGAAAGGATAAGAGGCACACGAAGCTTCTAGTGATGTTATAAAATTTTTGGAGAGGATAATGTGGAAAAGAAAATATTCGATCCAGTATATATTTACAATATAGCTTATATATTTAAAATTATTAAAAAAAATTCTGAATGTTGGTTATAAAATATGAAATTTAAAAATTGTACTTAAAGGTACAAAATTTAGATGCCGACCCATACGATAGTTATGTGGTGGCAGATAGAAGATTTTTATAAAACATGTTTATTTTTCAATTTTACATATTGCATTAAGTACAATTTATGGGCCGTGTAAAGTTTAAAAATTTAAGTAAATTTAAAGTATTTTTTACTAATTTATTTTAGGAATTAATTTTTAATCAAACAATATTTTTTTATACGCCTTACATAGCAAAAAATTTGTTGCCACACTTATAGTTACTTAAATGCTTACAGATTATTGCTATAAGTATATTAATAATGCTAACCGGCTAAAACTACTTTCTTAACCAATAACCTCATCGAACTTCTGATAAATAGTAGATTGGCTTTTAACCACAAGCAATAATATTAACATCAAATTTTAACATTGTGCGTAATAATAATCTGCATAACTACCTAACTATTATGGTGCAATAAATATCAGAATTAATTCTTCTACAGTATTTTTTGGTGGGTTCGACCTGCTCGTATACAGGATTTAATAACATTTGAATAACATTTACAAATTTTGAAAAACAAATTATGAATTTTATTTAAGTATAGGTTAGAGTGGATTGCTATAATTAAAAATTAACATTCAAATTACTTGTGTCTAGAATAATAGAAGAATTTTTTTTTTTTCTTTTTAAATTTAAATTTTATTTTTGTCCAGTTCTAATTACTACGAGTACTAACAATTCATCCAATCCAAATCCAATTGAATTACTAAACTAACAATTATATAGTTTAATTGTGAGTCGCTCAAATAAACTGGGCGCAGCGACTGGGCTCAAATAAACTCTGTAGGAGGGACTGGACTTCAATAGTAATAAATTTAAAATAAATTATAATAAAAATTTATTAAATTATGCTTTTACAATAAAATATCGTAAATTTAATTAAATAACATTAAAAATAGAAAATTTTCAATTACTTAGATAATCTGGTAACACTAAAATTATAAAATCTACTCCACTTTAAGTGTATAGGTATTTAAGTGTATAGATATTGTCAATATTAATTCAAGGAAAAAAAAAATATTACATTACTATTTTATTGGAATATATCCGGAAAATAATATTAAATAACATTAATGAAAAATCGATTTTATTAAGTGTTTTTCAATTTATTTTTATATTTTTATATATATTTTTTTTCTGATATCTATAATAATATTAAATTTAGCAATATATTGAAAATATTGAATAGACTATAATGTTCACTATTTCAATACAAATTTAGAATTTTAAGTAATTGAAATATAAACAATCGCGACATACAAGTATTATATAGTATATATATATATATATATATATATATATATATATTTTATATAATATTATTACAAATTCAATAATAATAAAATAATTTTTATTTTATTAAAATATTAAATGGGTGTTTTATAAGAGGATTTTTTCAGTAATTTGTTCGTATTTTTCTTGCTTTTTATTTCAATATTAAAGTGGTTTTTAGGAAATAAATTTGTAATAATATTAAAATTATTTTATTTAATTTAATTATTTTATAAAAATATTATGTTATTTTTTTTTTAATAATTATATAATATTATATAATAGATATAAGTGCATAATATTATTTAATTTATTCAGATTATTTTTACAAATTTTATAATTGGGATTCAATTCAATTGCGTAGTATAAAAAATTTTAACCCCATTTTTATACGCATACGAACGTGTATATGAAGGGTATTATTAATTTACCTTATTGTTTGTAAAACTAAGAATAAAATTGATTTAATCATGTCTACCTGTCTATTCGTCCGTTCCAACGATAATTCAAAAATTAATTGTGTTACGTTCAATAAAATTTTCAAAAATGATTTGTAATAGTAAATGCTCGAAATTTTATTTGAATTGGATGTGATTGCGATAGTGGTTTGGTAGGTATCTGCCTTATAATTTTAAATGTTATTTGACTATATTTTTCCAGAAATTATTGAAGATATAATACAGAAACTTTCCGCAAGCAAATATATTATTGAATCTGTTGTGTATGATAGAAGTTGTTAAAAATTTTTTGATTCCTTGTGGTAGCTACCCTACAAGTTCAATATTCATTTGATCACATCTTACAGAAAACTATTGAAATTATAGTGCAGTATAAAATTTGCATAAAATAGATATTATTTTCAGTTAATATCTTTCAAATAATATGAGTTTTTGTGGAAACTGCAACATATGATGATTATAATAGCACTATATAACATATATGGAAAGAAGATCAGACGAAACAGTATGGTAATTAAAATACAACTCTTAAAATTATTTTATTCGTACGGGTATCACACAAAGTTAACAGGATAAACTCTGTTTGTTCTCCTTTTATTTTTATTAAAAAACAAATTGCAACACAATATTTGTAGTTTTTGTAATATAATTATATTACAAGATTTATCAATATTTTTAGTATTTTTCAATATTTTTTATATGTGTATAATAACATAATGATGTTCAAAATATTATACAGTAAGCATATGTAGAAAATTTAAAAAATATTAATATTTAATACGAAAGGATTTTTTTTTGATTGAAAAAAAAAAATATTTTAAAAAAATTATTTTTCCGACTTACCGATTCAATAGCTTTTTCCAATCGAAATATTTCCTCTTGTAACAGATGTAATGTACCAGTTTTACCACGATGTCGAGCAAATGCTGCTGCACAAGCACTATGAATACTATTTACCCAATTTTCTAATTCAACCTGTAAAAACAAAAAGGGTGTATATTATTTGAATGGAATCAATAGGGTAAATTTTATTTATTTTTTTTTCTACATTTTATTTCTAATTTGAATAAAATAAATGGAATTATAGAGAGAATTATATTATTATATTAGTAACTTTTAAATTTAAAATTATAGTTTAATACAAATCTGGAAAGCGAACTATCAATTTTTAAGGGAAACTAAAGGTAAATTATTTAAATTGGTTTAAATAAAATAATAGGGTAATTTTTTGTTATTTTATTGATTCATTGTTTATTGTAATAATATAATGAGCTGGTAATAACAAAATATTGGCCTATAATTTAAATGAAATTCAATGCTAATATTAATCGTATGAGCAGTATTATATAATAGGTACTTCTCAATAATCTGATTTGTAGTTTGCAAATCATAATATTTTGAGTAAAAATAAGTGATCTTAGATAATTCTAAATTATTTAAAAAAAAAAATACTCAGCTGTATAACTTTAAATTTAATAAAAATTAAATTTTTTGGTCCAATCACGTTTTTTCCAATTTAAAAAAAAAGGGTTTATTCCGTTCTTCTATCTGTTAGTCCGCTTGTCAGTCCTTTCATTCGTGAACGCATTTTATATATAAATAGATCTCTGCTTCAACTTTATTTCCGCAGAAGAAAATTTTTTATGTATCTGTTCGCCATTTTAAAAACTATAGCACTTGAAAAAATCAAAAAAATGTTACTTTTTTTTTACTATTTATTTTAATGAAAGCACTATGCATAAAAGTAGTAATGAATTTCTTCTACCGCAGTATAGCTTATATTTCCAAATTTCTATAAATGCAGAATGCTAACGGTAAATATTGTGAAAATCCAAATATGTAATAATTTTTCATAATTCACTTGCTTATCTGTTCAATTCAATCAATATATTAATGCTTCTTTCAACAGTTTTTTTCTTCTCATCCTAAATATATGCAATATTTTTATATATAATTTGGTCTATCATAAATAAATTTAATTTAAATAAATAATGTGGAAGATTGCTTGAAGTATGACCCAACTTTATTCTTAATTGATTTAAAATATTGAAAGAAATTATTTGGTTTGGTTTTTAAATTATGGCCATTATTAATAGTTTTTAGGTTAGAAAATTATCAAATTAAACTGCTATTATTGAGAGACCTTAGCAACACTGTTTGCACACGAATATTTTTTTTTTTTTAATTTTTTGTTTTACGCAACATGTTTTTTTTTTTCCAATTTTCAATTCAATATTGTAAAAATATTATAGATAAAATATTATTTTTGAAAAAAATTCCTTTAAAATCTATTATAATATTAAAATAATAAAACGGGTGTTGGCTTAAAAATAATATACATATACATTCATACTAAGTATATGTTTTTTGAATCAAAATATCCTTTAAAACACAAACATACTCACGTATATACGAACAATAACAAAAACAATATTATATTTATGCTTTTGTTATTACAAATGTCCTGGTTTTTAAATTAATTTTTTTTTTGTGTTTTCGTTGTTATACTCGTACTCCAAATTTTTTTTTTTATCTAAATAAGAGAAGTCACACGAATTAACAAAGAGCATTTAAATTAATATAGAGCAAGCAGTAATATAGTAGTTAGTAGTAGTAGTTACTAGTAGAGAGTAGAGTAAGAGAGAAAAAGAAATAAAAAAACAATAACAAAAACAAAACCTGATTTATATTTTTAGAATTCTTAGTAAAAATCAGAAAAAATAAAATGAAAACAACATTCTAGGATATTGTGTTACAAAAAAAATTAAAAATCAGAACAAAAAAAAACAAAATATGTCAAAACATTATTATTCTTTTCAGATATAAATTTATTTTTTTTTTTTGTAGCAGTAGTATAGCTTTGTTATAATCATTGTTATTGTAAAAATATTTTCAAAAAAAAAAAAAAAATAACAAGAAAAAACAAAAATCCTTTTCTGTTATAATTTTCTCTGCATTTTGATTTTCTGTTTTTTTTTGTTATTTTTTGTTTTGTTATTTTTCTTCTCACGTTGTATTATTCCGTCGGATTTTTACATACAACATTTTAGTTTTCATTTTTTTTTTTGTCTTTTGAAAAAAAAAAAAACTAACCTCAATAAATATTATAAGTAAAACAGCGCTAAAAATGCTGGAAGGTATCAAGGATAATGAATATACACTGTATATATATACACATACATACAAACAAACAAAATATAATATTGTATTTTTTCATGTTTCTTTTATTATTTTTAAATTTTTGTGTATATCTCTTGTATCAAAAAAAAAAAAAACAATAACAAGAACAAAATTTTAATCCTTTACTAGTATATGTCGTATTATCCTTGAACTAAAAAGCAGAGAAAAAGCATAAAAAATAACAAAAATAGAAAAAAAAAAAAAACTTGAAAGTTACAAGTTAGTATATAAAAATTATGTGAGAGAAAGAGTGAGCACAATAAACAAAATTGTTAAAAATCAGCATGTTGTTACTGAAAAATGGAAAATACAAAAAAAAAAAAAAAATCCTACTTCTATTTTTAAAAAATAAAAAATCTAAGGTTTTAAAAATCTAAAATTTTTTTTTTCATATACGTACATACCTACATTATATACCAAACTTATATAAATCCAATATTGTAGTTTTAGGTAAGAATGTTAAAATTTTCGTAAAATATATGAATATATTATAGAGGGGTATATACAGAGAGTATTGCGCCTCTGTACATTTATAAAATGTGCAAATACAAAAAAGAAATTTGTAAACATTTCCACATGTCAATGTTATCCTATATATGTATATATAGGATATACACGTATATATATATATACCTATTATGCAATATTATTATATTGTATATACATTTTTGTATTAATATATGCAATATACTAGATATACTTTTAAAATTTATGTAAAAATCCTGTTATATATTCAAATAATGTGAGAAATATTGTGTGTGTGTTTTTTTTTTTTTGTGAAATAACCCGGTGTGCCTTAAGCTTATTTTTACTCCATTTCTGTTTTTTCTGTTTTTGCTCAGTATACTCATTCAATATACCTAACATATATCTAAGAGTAATGAAAAAGAATTAAGAATTTTCATTTCTAATAAAAAGGATATGTGTACAATAATATTATTATAACATAACGTAAGTATGTTTATGTACGTATATTGAAATGTGAAGACATATTGTATGCGTATACCTTGAAAACTTGTTATTGTTTTTCTTTTTTGTTAAAAAAAATCTAAGTAGTAGAAGAAAAAGAACAAGAATAAATATAATAAAAGAAGAGCAAAAAAATTTACATGCTATGATAAATGTTGTGTAAAAAAAATTTTTCTTATTTTGTAAAATTATAGATTTCGCATATATTCCAAAAAAAAAAAAAAAATAAGGTGCCTATATACCATTTTGTTTTTTCTGATATACATAATATGTATATAAATTGTAAATTTATTCATCATCATTTATAACATGATAATCATACACCTATGTCAATGTGTATATGAAAAATTAAGGATTAAGAAAATTTTTATAATAGAATTGAATGAATTCAAAATTGAATTATGAAAAATTTGATGTCAGCACATTATTTGATTGCATTGTGATTTTATTTTAGTGGTACATACTTAATAATTTTGTATTAAATCTGGTTAATTTTTAGTAAAATATTTGCTTGATGCGGGCAAAAGTATCCCATTAAAGTGTATAGAAACTGTCAGTCGTGTTGCTTGACATAATGGATTATTTTTTCAAAATTTTCTAATTTTCTGAATATTACAATCTATTCCGAAATTTTACATTCCATAATAAAAATACTTTTCAATAATACTGTATACTCGTAACCACATAATCAAATTAACAGAATATTAGTAATTATGTTCGTTTGTGTGCGAAATTTTAAGAATGGTTATAAGGTGTAAAATTAAATGAATAAGCTGGGCGTAAATTTAGACGATAAACGGACACAGTTTTATTGATAAATACACCAGGAGAATGAGCCACCTTGCAAACGATGTCGGTAAGAGTTGCTGTGACGAAAAAATGGAGAAAACTGTTGTAGCATGTGCGCTGTGATCATGTCCGGCTAGCTACTGACTTTCTTAGTGTAAATACTAAGAGCCTTGGCCGGGAAATTCCCATCCATTAGAGCCAGGTTGAAAAAGTCGGAATAGGAAAAGACCGGATTTTTATGGTACCGGATGGTTATGGTATTGCCATTACCTAACCTATGTATACGTATGCATATATTTTGTAGTGTTTCTAGAGAAATATATTAATGACAATAGACTTTTAATATTATGCTAATAGTAAAATAAGTTGTTCATTTCATTTTTTTGTTTTTCTTTCTATTTATTTTGTTGTTGTTATATTTAAAAATCATTTTCAATTCTGAAATTTTTTTTTTGTAAATTTTATTGCGCTAATATTTTATTGGGATTGAGAAATTCTCGTTCTCATATTATTATCAATCTTTAAACTCATTTACATGCATAATATTTGCTCTGAAAAGTTGGAGAGAGAGTGAGTAGAGTTGTGATTTTGTGATGGAGAGTAAGATGTAATGAAGAAATCCTATGTTATTGTAATGTAATGTAAATTGTTAGTGTTGTGTTAAGCTTAAAATTATGTTGTATATGTTATACAATTTTTGTAATAGATTTTTAGTAGTTAATATATTTGCATGTATGTATGTATATGTATGTGGTATACCATTTTATATGAATATTTTATCAGTTAACAACTCAATAATAATGTTTTCTATGTAAACGAAAAATATAAGTACATGTTAGGTACATGATACTGAGACTTGAATAAAAAAAAAAATATAACAAAAAATTTTACAAATGTAAAAATATTTTGTTTTTTTTTTTTGGAAGAGGAAAAATGCAAGAATATTAAAATTTTTTAAGGAAAAATATTCTATATAGCTATACAGGATTAAATTTTTTTTTTTGGGTAATGTAATTTTTATTTGAAAAAAAAAAAAC